ATTTTGGTGGCAATATTTAGCGTTTCGTATTCTTTTTACACCTCACATTATACAGGGCTTGAGGCTTTTTGCTAACTAAAATGAGATGTTCCTTCTCGTCATACCGATTTGTTGAACTCATTATGATTTTACGAGTTTTTGTCCGGGTTTCTTCACTAGATGATCATAAGGAAGCGAGGATATATTCACATAAACACTGCTTGGCCGGTACTCAGTTTTATCATAGATGACATTTCAGAAGATGTCTATAACAATCCCCGGATCCCTTGTAAATAAAACCAAAAAGCACTTTATGGGTATGCCCGCTCCAGCGGGCTATGTCCCCGGTGTTGGAAGAGGTAATTGTCAATTTACTTTGAGGAAAGAACATGCTCGGAAGTTTAGTGATTCTTAGGTGCGACTGGTTTCACTACCAGATCCGATATCGGACCAGCAAGGGAGGCAACAGATGTGCCTGAAACGGGGACGGGACCACCGTCGAAAAAGCCAAAAGAGGAGACAGCCAAAGATGAACCAGAAGATTCTCTCAACGACACTAATTATGATGAAGTCAGTTCTTTCTATAATGGCAGCTCAAGGAGTAAACCGCTTGTTTGCAGTTTGAAGGCTACGCTGGGAGTTTATTCGCCAAAGACCCTTATGACAAAGAAGATGAAGAAGCCGATGAAGTCTACATGGCTGTGGAAACAAGGATCGATGAGCGACGGAAGGATTACAGGTGACTATTCTGTCATTAATATTACATTCTATTTTGCATGCTTCAGAGAGAAGAAGTATAAAGAAGCCATCGAGAAATATCGAAAAGAGAGACCAAAAATTCAGCAAGAGTTTTCTGATCTGAAAAGGCAGCTGAGTGAGGTATGATCATCGATTTCGATTTTGACATTTGCTAATATATGTATTGATGTACGTCGTATATCACACCTTGTCATTTAGTCAGTGCATCGTGATTATGTTTTGCTCTCTCTTTCTTGTGAGTCTTCGAAAAAAATGATGAGCTATCAAACCTTATGTCAGGTCACCGAGGATGAATGGGTCGCTATACCAGAAGTGGGAGACTCGAGAAATAAGGCAAAAAGAAATCCACGTGCTGAAAGGTTAGCCTCGTCGAGTCATTTTTTAGACCGGTTTCTGCTCTCTTTTATCATATATATCATTATATATTCATACTAAGTCCTTTTTCAGATTCACTCCGGTTCCTGATTCGGTCATCGCTATGTCTATGAATTATGGTGAAACGACCTCCATGCTTGATAGCCGAATTCAGTCTGGAATGGCAACACCTTATGGATCTGGATTCCAGAGCACAATAGGTGGATTGCAATCATCTCTAGGTAAACAGTGTTTAATAAATTCGATTGCACATTGTTATACAAAGTGCTGCGATGGTTATATTCTTTGAGTCTTTTTCTTATATGCTTTATGGTCGATTATATTTTGTAGGTGGATGGAAAACAGGGATCAATTCCGGCATTTCGACAGGCAATGATCTTGATCTGATCAAAATTGGTCAAGCCAGGAATAAGATCATGGACATCAAGCTAAACCAGGTAAGTTCTGGTTTACTGAATTAATTCACGGAATTGTTGTCGGTGCTGAAATAGTGACGTGACATGTAGGTGTCTGATTCTGTCACTGGACAGACCGTCGTGGACCCCAAGGGTTACTTGACCGACTTACAGTCAATGATTCCGCAGTATGGTGGTGACATCAACGACGTGAAGAAAGTGAGTTATACGTTGTGAATGGCTTAAATCTTCAAATCACTTGCTTTTAGGCTAGGATGCTGTTGAAGTCAGTCCGCGAGACAAATCCAAAGCATCCGCCTGCTTGGATTGCCAGTGCTCGCCTAGAAGAAGTTGTGGGAAAACTACAGGTATCTGCTTCTGAACACTGTTTTATTATATGGACTGCTTGCCAATTTACCTTTTCCTTTGAACTTTCAGCTTATGTTTTGTTATC